CTTCTATAGTTACTGGAGTGTTATTTTTGCCATGTTTTTGTACAGCGTATAAATTTGCTTGGAAAACAGTTGTATTTATTAAATTTTCACTGAATAAATTTAGAAAGAAATCTAATGGAGCTTCTAAAGTATCAAGAACCATTGGTCCTACGTTTTCTACAAAAGGAGGGCGCTGTGTTACATTATTTAAGTTGTTTGTTTACTTTAGTTTATTTTGGCGAAGGAAAGTTAGACTGGTAACTCATCTTTACTGTCGGACTCGTCTTATCCATCAAGCACATCAACTTCTTCATTTGGATCATCTAAGGCCATATGCATCTGTATTTGTAATGTGTGGAGAGTGGGTTATTCCCACGGCACCTCCTAACTCGAGGGCCAGCTTACAGATTTAATGTAGTTGACATCGTTGCCAAGAGATGCTTCTCTTATATCGGCCAGTGTTAGCCGATACTCGCCGTATGCATGCATTTCAGGAATTTCGTCCAGTAAAGCATACGCTTTTTCACTGGATAACTTTCTCCAAGAGAACCTTCGTTTCATTTTGAATAAATGTAACAAAAACTTAATTATTACGCTCACAACGGCTTAGTAGTACTAAACAGAGCCACTTTCCAAAACATAAAATATGACATAGTTATGTATATGTTTCCTAATAATAAATTAATATAATTGAAAAAGACATCAAATAAATAATTAAAATAGTACGAACTTTATAGCATCTTTAGCATATCTGATTATTTAAGAATATATAAACGCTCTTTTGACACCAACTGCACCAAGCTCGTGTGACCTTCTTACATCCAGTGAGGAGTATGATCAGGCTAATACCGACAATTATATATATTTACAAATTCACTGAGACAAAATGTTGATTCGTCAAAAAAAAATAATGATGTTCATCAACATATCGCACCTTTGGAGAAATATTGACGTAATTGCAAACGTACGAAATGTTGGGAAATAGCATTTAAGGTAGTTCTTAAGACTTCAAAAAAATTGAAATATAAGATTAATGAAAGTGTCTTTTACGTAGCTAAAAGAAAATGACACTTTTTGACCGTTTGTGAAACGAGGTACTAACAATTAAAATGTGCATAATTAACACTCTTGAAACCTGTCATGTACACAAGCAATGCATTTATTTCAAGATGTCTCGAAAATGGTTATTACTATATTTTTTAAAAACTAATGTAATGTAAAACAAGAAGTTATAAATTTTTTTAAAAAAACGCTGAATTTTTCGACCGTCTTGGTAAAGAGATACAGATTTTTAAAATAAAAATATGTTTAACTCTTCCGGTTTGGTGGTTCCAATTTGACACCACGTTTTTAAAAAAAAAATTTTAGCAGTGTTGTGTTCGACTGTTAGAACTACCTAGCACAAATGAATCGACGCATCGTATATTTGAATCTTTAGCAATTAAAATCAATTTCGGAAAGGTTTAGAGTCAGTACACAGGTAATTTCCAATAGGATTTATGCGCATCTCGTGCGTCGGAACTCGAGCGGAATTAAATACTTAATTTTTCGCATTTCGGGCGTAATGCTACAGGTAGATTAAATACCCTTCGCAACTCGGGCGTTCAAGGATCGGTACCAATATTATAGTAATATAATGAATGTCACCTCTTTAGTTTAACCTGAGAAGGTGCTTTCGGCTTAAATTTAAAATTATATACGGAGTGCCGTACAAGAGGGGCTTGCCAGTTTTTAAATATTATGTAACTTTCATAAAACAAGATTTTGATTTATTTTTCTCTGCGAAAATAGTCTTTACATTACATTGTTATGACATTTGAAATTGTCGTTTTTATTGAAAAAAGTATAATTTATTTTTTATATAATAATTAGATTGATAAATAATAGTGTACCTACCTCGGATAGCTATTTCATTTTTATTTTATTACATTTTTTATGTAAGTTAGCTACATATGGAAAACTTTTTTTTTATTAGTTTTATCAAAAAAAAAAATATATAGCATAAAAAGTTGTGCATGGTCTAAAACCTAAAATACATCACATTTTTTAGCCGTATACTAGGACAGTTGGCAATAAATGGAAAACTTTTTTTATTAATAATTTTATGAAAAAAATGTCCTCAAAAAATTGTGCGTGATTTGAAACCTTAAATACAACCATCATATATCAAATTGTATAAGTCGTATACGAGGTTTGTCACTTTTTTTTCCTTTTTTATTTATTCCAAAGCATTTAATAAAATAAACTTGAGTTTACCAGCTTTTGTTTTATTAGGCATAAATAAATCTTCAAATGAACGAAATTTAATTATTAAAATTATATTTATTTGCATAAAGTCACATCAAAAATTAATCGAACCTTACAACATGTCTTAATATTTCGAGAGTACTTCGCAAGTCAGTTTTTCCGTTTGTTAAGTCTTCCACGATGGCATTTATTTGTCGGTCGAGATTACTGTATTTTGTGACTCTTTTGGGTATGGTCATATGTAGACTTGCTTGGTTTTTAGCTACACTGTAACACCTTATTTCCTCTTCAATGACTTTCAGTAACTTGTAAATATTCGGATTGGCTTTACCTATTCATCTATAGAGTTTGTTGTGCCAGCCCTCTACTGTATTGGTGGTCCTTTGTCTCTCCTTGCACACTACCCATAACAAATCATTGTCCAACCACTGGTCAACAAAGTAGTCATTGAATTTGGCCAAGAGTGGTTTATTTAGTGCAGTCTCCATTATAAACATCCATGCGTCTGGTAAAGTTGCTTCTGGCAAGTAAGCTAGCGATGCGCACATTCGGATGTGATTTCTGATGTTCAGATTATCTCTGTAAATGAAAGCTAGTCCACATTCTTAAACATTTCGCCACAGAGCCTGGTTGAAGTGGAAGTTACAATCTCTGATTACAGTTTCTGTAAAAACTTCCTTAATGGCGTTAATCGCTGCCTTCTCATAGTCAATATGTATTTTTTCTGAAGAGAATTGAGGTACACACTGTCGAATCATTTGAAATAAATTCTTGTGGCTACCTTGCTTTCTGTTTGGAAGCAAAGAAAATGCTGCAGGTACAACTACCCTTGATTGCTCAGTGCTTCCTAGGTCCACGTGTACAATGTATAACTGCCCAAACAATGGGCAACCATTTTTAAAAGTCCCATCAACAAAAAATTCGGTTCCATCTCTAAGAAGATTCCCTTGTAAATCGGCAAACACGATTATTCTGTCTTCTTTTTGATTGTCCGCTAAAACATAGCCTTTGGCCCAATCCAGAATCTGTATTTTACTTCTACATTTTGGCAGTCGTTGTATTCTCAGCTTCTTGTGTCTTGTGTGGGTATTTCGGTAACAAAATCTAGCCCAGCATCCTGTACGTTCATCAGCTCTTGTCTAAAAATTTGTGGCACTGGAGTCATTTCTTCACGGGCACGTTTCTTTGCTCTGAATAGACTTACTTCCACTTTATTTTTGGCTACACTAAGGACACAGGAATGCGGTCTCTCCGATAAAACATTTAAACTTTTACTTCTGGTTAAGGAACCTGGACACGGTCACTTTATGCAGATCCACCGGTTAGTCGAGTTTTAATTTCAACACTTTAGTGAATACTTGTAACCACATTTTAGGAACGTTTCAGAAATATTTCTGGGGCGTTTCGTTATATTTATATATTACAAATATTTATATATATTCTTAAAATATTTACTGTGGTTTTGTGCTGTGTGGATTTATAGAGGGTTGTTTTTCTATTTTAAAAAATGTATCTCTAATTTACGCTTGGAAAAGAAGATTGTTCAAATAAAAGTTGCTTGTGATATTATTCTCTATAAATTTTATCATATTCATGATTTCCTTAAAATAGTCCGTATTCGAGAAATTTAACAAAAAGTGCAAAATTCGAATTTTAAAGACAATTCTTCAAATAAATGTTGCTTACAATGTAATTCTCTATAATTTTTGATCCATACATTTTTCTAAAATGGACCGAATTCAACAAATTTGAGGTAAAGTGCAAAATTCGAATGTTTCTCATTATTTTCACTTTTAATACCACTAGTGACCAAATTATTTCCGGAAATATTTTAGAATTCGCGAATATTTTGAAAATGATCCTGATATTATACTCTATAATTTTTATTCTTAACATGATTTCTCTAAAATATCTTAAATTTTTTTACATCAACTAACTTTTCTGTTAAAAACAAAGCTTGTTCTGCGATGTCATTCACTTTTCTTAAATTTTCGATAATTCATTAGTACCTGAATGAGATTGCAATCAGAATCAGGGTACATAAACTATGGTCAAATTTCATATCCCGTCGACGCCCGAGTTGCGAACTCACAGGTACACAATTTTGGAGGGCGCCCGAGTTGCGACGAATACAGGTAGTTTTATATTACGCCCGAGTTGCTAACGCACGAGTTGAGAAAGTACCCCCAAGATTCACAAAAGTTAAATGTTTGGACTGGTTGAGTTAGAGAAAGAATTTTGAACCATTCGTCATGGAAGGAACTCTTAACGGAGATAGTTCTTGAGTTAGTGGCTGTATTTTTAAATCATAGAAATCACTTAGAACTTTTTGATGAAATTTGATTATAGCAAGATGGTGTTCCTACTCATTTCGATGCTAGAGTGAGGCAGTATGTGAACAGAATATTTTCGTATAGATAAGTGGGTCAAAGAGGACATACTGATAGGCAGGCAAAGTCATCGGATTTATCCCCGCTGAATTTTTTCTTTGAGTTGTATAAACTAATTACCAGATTTGATTTACAGCAGCACTAGCTTCTTTTTTATCACTTTCCTTTAAAAATCAAATTTTACGCAAATTTTTTCTTTCATTCTTATTCACCCTATTTATTATTATCAAATTAGCACCCTACAAAATTCAAAATAATTATACCAATTAATTTAACGTTTACGTCGCAGTTTAGAGAATCTAGAATCATCCGATACGGCAGAATAACTAATCGTAATTATTTATCGAGTTAATAATACCATTGACCCTAATTTGTTATTTTCAGAATTGTGGAAGATTAAATTGGCGGAATATAAAGAACGATTTGACGTCCTAGAGAGTCTGGAGATTACGGTGGAATCCAAGTCGACATCCCTAATAAATCAAGTTTTTGGTATTCACGAAAATTTCAGGAAGCTCGACGTTGATTAACAATAAATAATTAAGTAAAATTGATTATTTACTTTTATATTTAATTAAGAAAAAAAATGTATTTTCAGTTTTATTTTGTTGTTATATTATGTACATGTATGTCGTAAATCCTGTATTACATTACGCCGGATTGCGGAAATAGGGTTTCCAACTATTAATTTTTGAAATCCAGAACAGATCACTAAAATTTGTAAACAAACAAGGACACATGGTAACACAACAGGATACATAATTATATAAAATTTTATTAATTTTAAACAAAATAAATTTAAAAAAATATTACTAGCTGAAAAATGAAATAAACATTTTAAAAACCAAAAAATTAAAACTTAATTTCTAAGTATCTACCTTATCTTACCTCTTGCCTTATCTATGTATGTATAGGTACCCATTAAAAATGACGTGCACAAACTAAACATTAAACACTACTCTATCGTATTCTTGTTATTTTATCTATTTTTATAGTGTTTTAAGCTCTCATAATTTTGGAGAGTGGGTCAGGTTATTAAACAACTTGTATTACTTTGAAAAAGAATGTTGAGTGCCACTATATTTAAAACTTTCTAAACTTGACAATCGATTAGTGATGAAAATATAGAAAATCACTAACCATTAAGATATGATAATTTAATAAGGTTTCAGATAAGGCAGCGACAAATTCTAATTCATAGAGACTTACTTATTCAAATTTAAATAATTTATTAAAGACTTATCTGTTATAAAGGAGGTAGTATTTCAGGAGTGACTGTAGAGGCATTCTTCAAGAGGATTCGCATGAGATACTACGGATATCACCAACTCTTCAAGTATAAATCTTCCTAGGAAAACTTAAATCTCATAAACTTCTTAGATGACTCGAACTAAGCCTCTTGATATACTTGAAATCAACTTCTGTAGCTGGAAATAAACTTCTAAGTTTCTATTCTTCTAAACATGCAGTTTGAACGTTCTTCCAAACTTCTAAACAGACTCTTTCGATATAACTTCTACAAAACCATGTAGATACAGCCAGGCTACAAGGAAAAAGGTAAAAATATCAAGAAAAGGACTAGGGAGTTTATATAGGAAACAAATAAGATGCTTTTTACTATCAAATGAACAATTTAAATTATTAAATGAATAGCTTCACAGAGACAAAATTAATATGAAAAGGAAAAATCTTATTTAACATGATTAAAAATAGTAAAGCATATCATCTCTTCCAAACAAAATAATATTAAAACCATACAAAACGTTTTATCATGTGTTATCCAATGTGTTGAGGTTATGTTTAAAATTTGACATTTTAATTAGAAATTATTGTACAAAATATATATTTTCAACAATATATTGGTAGAAAACTTACCTTTATAAAATCAGACGGTCATTAAGAATATTAATAGACAATTAGTACATCAGATGTCCAAGATAAAAGATAATTTTTAAATCAATCCATTCGCTGACAGATACAAAATCGAAATGAATTACCAACTTTAGACATAAGGCATAAACTTAGATTATACAAACCTTAGATGGAACATAGGACACTGCGCATAATCCCATTTCAAAATGATTCACACCCACCAATCACAGTTGAGAACATCATATGTCAGACCGTTGTCCATCCAAATTTAATGTGTCAACGAGGATTAATTTGGTATTTTAGTGACTTAAATTTTGGAAATTAACGTTGAAAATGCCAAGATGTGTTGTAAAAAGCTTTATTTATAATAAACCTGTGAAATGTGACGGAGATAAAAGAAACTTATATTTATTTCGGTGATATATTTGATTTTTAAAGATTCTGTCGACGTCCATATTTGTTGATTTGAAAATAAACAGAATCGGACTTGGTCATTGGTACATGTTATAAGTAGCAAATAAAGGTTATTATTATAAACTGTTTACTATTTCTTGTTTCATAGGGAATCTTTTTTTAGGAAGTGAAAAGAGAAACATACAATCAAATACAAAAATATCAATTTCATTGCCAATTTATTCATTTCAAACTTCACAACTGGTTTCAATAGTTTTCTCAAAACTATTTATTTAGTAATTCTCTATAACAGTGTTACTCAAAGTGTAAAGCCAAAGTACTATCGCCACAAAATGGAGGGACCTGGCTTGAGGACCGTTTTTTGGGAAGTAATTTTTTTAAGTCACTAACAGGAAGGAGGATATGATTTTGCTTTAGGACTTTTTTTTAATTAATTTTTTATGGGTGAAATGGATTTGGGATTATTTTTGCAAGGAATCTTTGGAATAAATCAAAAATAAATGATGCTCTTGTGCATTTTCAGCCTGAGTTGCCGATTAAATTATTCGTAGATGCATCAAATGTGGGAATAAGGGCCATGATATGTCATGTTTTAAAAAAAAAAAATATTGAAAATTGTATAGCTTCTGCTTCGCGTACCTTATCAAAGTCCGAACAAAAATATTCCCAAATTGAAAGAGAGGTCCTTGCAATAATTTTTGGCTTAAATAAATTTAATGAATATTTATATGGACATTTGCATAAAGTAGAACATTATGCAACTGATTACGAAAAGTTGATTATGTCACCAGTTACGAAATGAAAATAAATAAAACTGCCTCTTTTTGGTTTCTCGAGAAATTGAGAAATCGAAAAATCGTGTAATCGAAAAATCTAAATATCTAAAAATAAAAAATAGAAAAATTTAGTTATTTATTTTATTTTGGTGTGATCGTAGAAAAAATCTTGTGTGTAATTCGAGCAAAAAGTACTTATAAACTTTTACTTAGGGTCGATTTCACCGTTTTGTTAAACGAAGTTTAAAATACTAAACGAAGATTAAAATGACATTTTTATATTAACAAAAACGAAGTTTAAATTACTAAATGGAGTTTAAAATGACATTTTTACAATAACAATGTCATTTTAATCTTCGTTTAATAATTTAAACTTCGATTAACACAACGGTGGAATCGGCCCTTAGCTAGTTATATATTTGATAAAGTGTTATTGCCCTCATCATATATAAATCGTGCTAACAAATAAAGTCAAACAAACGTCTCATAATTTTTCATCTTTTAATTACCCACCAAAATTAGGTACTACAATACAAATATTTAAGTCCGGCCCAGAACATCTCCTTACTCCTTCCACCCAGTTTTTCGGTTTTGGCAAAATTCGCGCAGCGAGAAATGCTTCCTATGTTACCTCTACCCTTTCTAACCTCTTTGGGCATAAACAACAAATGACATTTGTGTAGAGATGTTGGTGTCAAAATAACGAAAACGGTTCCGACCGTTACAATGTTTGGGTCTAAATAACGAAAACAGTTTCAGCCGTTACAAATGTCACTAAAAAATAAAAATATCAAACACTTTGGTTTGATATAATAGTGCAATATAGTTGTGCTTGCTTATTGCTTAAAATTTTTTTTCTGACTTGTTGGCTAAAATCCAGGACAAAATGCGTCCTTCTTAAGGGCTCGAAAGGACAAAGGTCAAATCTAATAATATCGCTTGAAAGTAAAAATGTTTACACAAATGTGAAAAATCGCTTTAATGCAAGTTATAAGTGGCAACCATAAAATAATTTTATATAATTGTAAAACTATTAAAACAGGCTATGGAGGTTCTTTCGAGATGTGAGTTGTTCTAGGTTTGTTTTTATTTGACTTATTGGTTTTGAATAATTTTAAATGTTTGAACACGGTGTTTTGTCGAAATTAAAAAGGTGATGATTCCATTTTACAAACACTTGATAGGATATAAAGAAAATATAAGGTACAAATATATTAGCGGTGTGCTTCTGCTCCCCTACCCACCACAAATTCTTGAAGTCCCTACATATGCGTGTCAGGATGAACGAGCGGGAGAAGGCAGGCCAGCGCAGTGGGCAGAATAGACAGTAGCAATACCAGAGCAACATTGTAATTGAAAATACTTGATCCTAAATTAAATTATTGAAAAAGCAGTCTAGAAATTTTAATTAGGGATGATACATCTCTTCTGTTTATATCAGAAATGGGATCACTACACGTACCGTGGCTAATAGAATATGATTAGTAATTTAACTAGAAGTTAGTGCTAGAAATAGAAAGAGACATATACTTTTGTTCAACATTTTTAAAGAGAACTTGGACTCTGACTTTCAACCTTATTTTTGGGGTTGATTTGGTCACTTTCTAACACGACCTGCTAGACTGCAGAAGGTTCTGTATCTACTTTTTTGAAAAGGATTCTGCAAGTCAATTTAGAACCCAAAATTATTATTTGGAGGTTATTTATTCTTGTCCAATTTGTTGGATAGGGGATAAACCTTAAAATTAGGGATACTGATTACCCAAATATTATTAGATATTATTATCTGGCCATCCACCATCTTAGGTAAGTCTCTTTGAAATTGTAAGATTAATATTAAAACCTTCGATCACTTTTGTTATGCTATTTTCACATTAAATATTTAATTAATTTATCTACTTACATGAAATTATTAGATATTTAGAAACTTTAAGGCCTACAAGTTTTACGTTAACTTTGCGTTAACTACAATTTCTACTCAACTTCACATCGACTCCTCGTTAACCGCTAGTTTTACTTTTAACTTATCGATAACTAGTTTTCTGGAACATATATATCAACTCTGTGATTTGGGATTAGATAGATAAATCACTTGATAACTTCACTACCGCGGCCAGTGCCAGATTCCAGTACACGTATTGTATACCTGAATGATCCTGGAAGGAAAACCATAATTACCGGTTAATTAATCAAATAAGGAATACCAGACTTACCAAATATGCTTCAGGAATACTGAGGTAGGACTTTCCCATATTATTAGGCCCACAATACATCCAGGGTAATCTTCATTCGGACCATCCAGTTAATACACTGTCTGTCTACAAATTTAGATAGTGAATATCAGTTGTTTGTTGGAACCATTAAGGGCCCCACTCACCTCGTTCTTCTCCGTCGTTTTTAATCGACGGTTAAAAGGGTAAAAATGTCACAAAAACGAGGTGTATGGGCAAGAACGTCGTTTATGCACGTCGTTCCAAAATTTCAGGCGAGGCTTGATTTTTGTCGGTTATCGTGCCAACCGTTCGAGTAAACACGAGGTGTATGTTCTCAACAGTTTGGCTGGTCGGGCATTTATCAGTGGCAGTGACGTTCAGCATGTTTTTGTTGTTTAGTATTACTTACAACTGGTTATAATAAAAATATCGGATATTAAGCAGTGGAACAGACTTTTTATTAGAGTTTATCGAGCT